CCCGTGTCCCCTGCATCAGCAGGCGGACTCTCAACCACTGCGCCACCAGGGAAGCCCTACCTTTTATCTTTTTTCTAGGGTACTGATGCCTTCTAGGATATCATACAATTTCCTTAATTATTTGCTTCTTCCTTCTAAGATGTAAGCTCCATGAGAGCAAAGACCATTATAAATTTTGTCCACTAATGTACACCAACCACCTAGAAAAATGTCTTAACACTTCATAGGGGTTCAATGACTATCTGCTGAATGAATGTATGAATGAGTGAATGGATTACCAAGGCCAAAGAGAAAAAAGTCCAAACGCCCTTGTATTCTCGTCTACACACTGCCTGCAGCCCACACCCACTGTCACACAGGACCATGGTTTCGGATATAGGCCCCTCATCTTCTTGCCTCCCAACCCCTGACCCACAGTCAATCAGCTCTACCCCCACCCCCTTCATTTTCACCGGCTTAGACCCTGCCCCTATTCAAAGGTGAAATCTCCACTGACTCTTCCCACAGGCAGAATTTCCTCTCCCTTCTGCACTCACAGCAGTCCCTGGATCTCTGCAGCAACACCTGACACCACCTTTCTGGTGCTATACTTCTGCATGAGGCTGTCCTCCCCCACTAAATTAACTTCCTGGATAAGTAGTCACATGACTCAACTGCTCATCTTTTGCATTCCTCTGAGGGCCAGGCTCAGAGAAGGGGAACCACTGACAAAGGCAAATTTCTGCCTGAAAAGCCCCATTTGTAGGGCCAGTGTTCTGTTCTGTCCTGTCCTCCATCCCCAGTCATCATCTGCAGCCTGAGTTAGGTAACCCAAGTGAACACTGTCAGGCCATTCCATGAGAATATAACTGAGTGCTTTAGGGAACACAGCTTTAAAAGTGAAGTTTAAAGAGGTCCCTAAAGGTCACTGCTCAGAACACAGATTCATTTTCACCACCAAAAGGCAACTCCCACCCCCACCATGCGGAAATGACCAACGCCCCCATGAGGTGTTAAGTGAGTTAAGTCATCTGAATTCTCTAAACCTACTGAGGAAACACTTTATACGGAAAGGTGCTGATGACAGTGATTTGCTCTGGTTCTCCTCAAACAAAATAACTGTTTTGTTCTAGTACTGTTACTTGTCTTACTCCTTAAAGCTCACCCCTGTAAAACACACATATAACAAGAAGTAAAAAAATATAAAGGCATTATATGCTGTGTTTAATTTACTGTGAACTGCTTTTAAAGCACATTGGTATTTTTACCTGATTTGTCTCACACCCTAGCAACTAGAATCTGTGATTTTTCCTTAACTGTAAAGAGAGTGTGGATTAAAATACCATCTGAACTTTGTTATATTTTCACTGATAAGAGTTTGTAAGTCAATGGGTAAGCTCAGAGTTGTGATGCTTCTAGAAAATGCCTCCTGTCTCACAAGAATAAGTGGGTTCACAAATCAGCGTTATGTTAATTAAGTTGAAGGCCGGACATCTGGAGATGTGCATCATTATACCTCTGTTAAAGCAGAAAAAAACATGTAAAGCTACGGGACACGTCCTCCCTTGTTTTCCTCCTTGCCCGGGAAGAGCCCATCTCCAGTCTCTTCCTAGGCAAGTCCAGACCAGGCTTCTTTGGTCCCTTAAGGTCTCTCTATGGCCCCTGGATCAGAAGCTAGGGCTCCTCTCTCCTTCACCCACAGTCACTTTCCCTTCTACAGTTTTCTATTCTGTCACCCGACCCTCTAGATTCCTAATGGACAGAGTTCAACGAATTGGCTTGGCCCTCAGGATTCTCAACACTGACACTTCCTAATACATCCACTCTTAACTCCTCCCACAAGACCACCCCGCCCTGGTGCCCCTCCTCCCCACAGTGCAGCCCTCCTTTGGGGAAGCCCTTTCCCCCCAGCTCTGGACACTTGGTTTTGCAAGGCTAGGAGGCTCCGAGGGGGCAAGCAAGCCAGAAAGGAAGGTCGCTCAAGCGGAGAACAATGACTACTCCAAATACGCCCCGGGGTAGGAACGGGCTGCTCACCTGCGGCCTGGCCGTCGGAGGCCTTGGGGCCATTTCTGCGTCGCCGGGCCCAGCTCCTAGACAGGGTTTGGGGAGAGAGGAGAGGGCCCACTCAGCCAGCTGTAACTGCCAGCCGGCCCGCGCCCTGCCAGGCCCGGCCCGCCTCCGCCCCGCAGCCACTTCCACAGGCGAGAGAGGTGGGGAGGTGCGCGGCCCCTGCCCGGGCCTGCCTCCCCCAAACTAAAGGCTCACCGCCTCCTGGACACCCTCCTCCGGCCACGCCCAGTCCCACCCGCAGGATGGTGGGCGCGGCCGAACGCACACGCGCAAAGCCCGTGGGAGGTGCTGCCCCAACCCGCGAACTCGGAATCACCGCCTCCCGGGGACTACGGATTTCGAGACCTCAGGCCCACCCAGGGCTCGGGCCGGCTCCTCCAGCCCCCGGTGCCGGTTCAGTCCTCTGCAACTCTGAAGTCCGAGGGGCTGCCTTCGCCGCAACTGGGCCGGACAATGGCCGCAGCGGCGGGGTAGAGCCGGAAGTGCGCCTGCGCATGCGGCGCCTTTCTCCCGTAACCGCTGGGCCGCGGCGGGCGCGCGACTACACTTCCCAGCGGCCACCGCGCATGGGTCCCACAGAGGCTGCCTGGTAGGACGCTTCGCTTTCCGAGGCGCCCCAGTGGGGACCGCTATCCGGGCCCAACGGAGGGTGGGGCTAAAGTACTCCTGCGTCCGCTTATTCCAGTAACAGTCACTGAGCGCCTTCTCTGTGCCAGGGGCGTGTTGCTAGGGGCGGGATACTGCAGTAGATCGGGCAGGAAAGATCCTGCTTTCTGGGAGCGAGTATGCACTCCTGTAGACGAGGCCGACAAAAAAAACCCATAAACGTATCAACAAGATAATTTCACGTACTGACTTTAGCTGTAGGAATAAGACAGTGAAGAGAGTGGGGCAACGTTGCCTCTTCTGTGCCGTCTTCACCCGTGGGTCACTACCAAAGGTTTGGACACTGACTCCCCAGACCACATATATAGAATATTACGGCCAAGATACTTGATGAAATAGTTGATACTACAGAAAGAAAAAAACAAAAAACCTTCAGATGAATCCGTAGCCTCCCGAACAGTATTCAAAAGCAAACTGTGCCACTGCCATGTTATTTTATTACTTGGTATCCCATTGCTCAGGATTTTGTACTTGGGGAAATAAATAAATGATGGAAAATTTCAACACAAAGAATTAGATTTATATAATTATGTGGGGGTTTTTTTGTTTGTTTTTTTTTGCGGTACGCGGGCCTCTCACTGTCGTGGCCTCTCCGGTTGCGGAGCACAGGCTCCGGACGCGCATGCTCAGCGGCCATGGTTCACGGGCCCAGCCGCTCCGCGGCATGTGGGACCTTCCTGGACCGGGGCACGAACCCGTGTCCCCTGCATCGGCAGGCGGACTCTCAACCACTGCGCCACCAGGGAAGCCCTATAATTATGTTTTATATATCATAAATAGTCTAAAAACTTCCTAGACTTACATTTGATTTTTTAACGTTAGAGTATCACATATTCACATGGTAGAAAATGAGTGCAAGTAAATGTTCTTTTTGTTACATGCTTTATCAAAAGGATGGACATTAAAAAAAAAAATAATGCTTTCCACCACTGCCACCTGAATATAATGCTGTGGAACAAACAGAAGGCATCATTCAGAAATACGAATGAGTGGTCTAAGGAGGCCTCTCTGAAGCAGGAACTCAGTAGACTGAGACCTAATGAGGCAACTGCTGGAACATGAGGGAGAAAAGAATTCCAGGCTGAAGGAACTGAGGGTGCCAAAGCCCCACGGTGGAAACAAACTTGATGTGTTTTAGAAACTGATGCCTAATGTAGCTGTAGCAGAGTGAGGGGGAGGGAGAGTAAGTGACATAGAGGTAGGACAGGTAGGCTGGGGTTTGATGGAGCAAAGGTTTTTAGAGGCTGTGATAAGGAGTGTGGATTTTACTTTGAATGTGATGGGAACCACTGGGTTAGCAGGAGCAATGGGTCATTTACTACTATGAGGGGATAAGAGAAAATTTCCCTGTTGTCCCAGAATTGGACACCAGGACTCAGCTGAGATTAAATTCTTCTGCATTCAAAAGAGAGACAAAATGGCATTTTTCACAGAACTAGAAAAAATAATTCTAAAATTTGTATGGAAATACAAAAGACCCCAAATAGCCAAAACAATCTTGAGAAAGAAGAGCAGAGCTGGATTTCAAGCTACAGTCTTCAAAACAGTATTGGCACAAAAACAGACACATACATCAATGGAACAGAATAGAGAACCCAGAAATGAACCCTCACTTATATGGGCAATTAATCTGACAAAGGAAGCAAGAATATAAAATGGGGAAAAGACAGGCTGTTTGATAAATAGTGTTGGGAAAACTGGACAGCTACATGCAAAAGAGTCAAACCGGATAATCTCTCACACCATACACAAAAATAAATTCAAAATGGATTAAAGGCTTAAATATAAAACCTGAAATCGTAAAACTTCTAGAAGAAAACATAGGCAGTACCCTCTTTGACATAGGTCCTAGTAACATATATTTTTTGGATATGTCTCCCCAGGCAAGGGAAAGTAAAGCAAAAATAAATAAACGGGGCTACATCAAACTAAAAAGCTTTTGCCCAGCGAAGGAAATATCAATAAAATAAAAAGACCACCTACTGAATGGGAGAAGATACTTGTAAATGATATATCCAATAAGAGGTTAGTATCCAAAATATACAGAGAACTCGTACAATTCAACATCAGAAAACCAAACAACCAAATTTTTTAAATGGGCAGAGGATCTGAATAGACATTTTTCCAAAGAAGACATACAGATGGCCAACAGACACATGAAAATGCTGTCTGTTGAAATGAAAATGAGTGATGCTCAACATCACTAATCAAGGAAATGAACATCAAAACCACAATGACGTATCACTTCACAGCTGTGAGAATGGCTATCATAAAAAAGACAAATGACAACTGTTAGGACACTGAGAAAAGGGAACCCTCATGCACTGTTGGTGGGAATGTAAAGTGCTGCAGCCACTATGAAAAACAGTTGGAGATTTTTCAAAAAATTAAAAATAGAACTACCATGATCCAGCAATTTCACTCCTGGGTATTTATCCAAGGAAAACAAAAAACACTAATTAGAAAAGATATTTGTACCCCTATGTTCATTGCAGCATTATCTACAATAGCCAAGATACGGAAGCAACCTAAGTGCCCATCAACAGATGAATGGATAAAAATGTGGTATATATACATTAGAATGTTAGCCATAAAAAAGAATGAAATCTTACCATTTTTGACAACATCGATGGACCTAGAGGGTACTATGCTAAGTGAAATTACGTCAGAGAAAGACAAATACTGTATGATATCACTTGTATGTGGAATCTGAAAAACAAAACAAATGAACAAACATAAAACAGAAACAGAGTTATAGATACAGAGAACAAACAGGTGGTTACCAGAGGAGAAGGAGAGGGGGGAAGAATAGGTAAGGAAGTTTAAGAGGTACAAACTTCCAGTCCCAAAATAAATGAGCCACAGGTATAAAATGTACAGTGTGGGGAATATAGTCAATAACAAAGTAATATCTTTGGGGTGATGTAACTAGATTTATGTGGCGATCATTTGAAATGTATAGAAAAAAATCACTATGTTGTGTAAGAGGAACTAACATAGTGTTGTAGGTCAATTATACTTCAAAACCAAATAAACAAACATACAAACAAACTCAGAAAAAGAGATCATATTTGTAGTTACCAGAGGCAGGGGGTAGGGGGAGAGGAAATTGGATGAAGACAGTCAAAAAGACACAAACTTCCAGTTATAAGTACTAGGGATGTAATATACAACAATGAGCCGTATAATGAACACAGCTGTATGTTGTATATGAAAGTTGTTAAGAGAGTAAATCCTGAGTTCTCATCATAAAATCTTATTTCTATTTCTTTCATTTTGCATCTATATGAGATGACGGATGTTCACTAAACTTATTGTGAGGATCATTTCATGATGTAAGTCCAAATATTATGCTGTATACCTTAAACTTAAACTGTGCTGTATGTCAATTATTTCTCAATACAACTGGAAGAAAAAGACAAAAAATTTGGGGCTAGACACCCCCAGGTCTTACAGAAGCAGACCGTGTTCTAAATTTGCCCTGCTTCTATTAACCATTGCCTCAACACCACCCCTCTTTCCCAGGCTGTATAAGGAGACTAGGATGGGAAAGAAAAGGAAGAACTCTTCCGAGTAGCAAGCCCTCCCGCCTAGTGGAGAATGCGAGTTTCTACCTCACACCAAGATGAGTGTGAGAAAGAAAACATTGAGAGCACCCAGAAGAAGGGGAGGGTTTATAAACTACCCCAAGGGCTCCCCAAAGCAAGGGAAAGGGGAGTTAAAGAACAGGCTGAGTGTAAGGAGAGTAGCCTGAATTTTCATTATTCGTGTAGTAAGTGGATGCAGTGGAAAACGACTGGGCTTTAGCCCCCAGGGGAGGTGGGGGATGGGTGCAGCTCACGACAGTTAGAGGCTGTGTAATTACATGGGTATGAAGAAGCTGAGCAGGTTAGAAGAAGTGGAAGCAGAGCCAGATCTCCCAAGTCTGGTATTGGTGGGTTTCCTCTAAAGAACTCACAAATGCACCCCCATTTCTGCCAGTGTGACTTCATAACTTTAATGCTGGATGAAATATTTTAAAAATCTTTTTAAATGGATTGGTGAGTTAGAAAATTAGTGAGGAATACACAGAGCCAAAAATGAAGCAAAACTGCTAACTTAGAGTGGTAGACAGATCACTGCAAACTAGTACTCACCTGGAAATCATTTGCCAAATGAGGCAAACTTGAGCTTTATTTTTCATGGTCCTGTAAGCACAGGGGCCAGGTGATGAAACTCAAATCCCACCCAAAGTAGGATATCTAATAGGACACACACACACACACACACACACACACACACACACACACACCTATTCAAATTGGGACTCCAAGGGTGAACACACTCCTGGT